CATCGCGGACAAACAACGTGACACGTAATTTTTATATATAAAGATGATATACCGTTACTGCAATTTTTCAAAATACGAGTAAATAAGGCTTCTAATTTTATTTGAAATTATCGCAAACTGAATGTGATTTAAGGGCAACAACTACGTGTACGCGCGCTCCTCTGTGTGGAATTCAATTTCGTCGACTGATCGATTCTTACGAATATGTGCGTGGGTAGTAAAATTGTAGACAATCAGTTAAAATAAAACATTACATTACATAATTTCAGATTTTTGTAATAAATTTTTCTTCACCATTTGGCTATAATAGTTATTCTGAACCTTCCTGCAAATTTGGCCGGTTATTGCAAAATTATCCTGTATAGGTTCGGATGTTTAAAGAAATCGGTGAACATACATAAAAATAAATATGCTCTTCGATATTGTTCTCGTTTTTCTGAACTTGGTTAAAAAATAGTCTATCCTTTGTTTTGGTAAAAAGGCGAAATAAAGCAGAATTAATTACATAAAGATACCTGGGAAATAAATCGTAAGACACAATGATTTAAATAATGTTTAACAATCTTTTGCTCCTTGACACAGATTTTTTAGTCATTAAGTTCTACATTTTCCATAACGAGCAAACGAGTTTACCGTATTTTGTATACGGAAATAAGAGGATGGTTATAATATTAAATTAGCTCGTCTTTCATCCTGCCATACCGCCTGGTATTTTAACGAGCGCATTGCGTGCCAAAAAAATTGCTGACATCTCACCACCGTTGCCGATTTGGACCGCACTAATTACATAAAATCCACCGCTACGTCGAGAACAAATTTCATGCACTCAGTTGCATTTAAAAAGTCGTTTTTTCATAAACTTTAATGTTATGATTAAAACGACTATTAACAACCACGACGAAAGCGACGAATTCTTTAATATATGATTACTTTTGAATATGGCATATGGAATATATAATTTTCAATTACAATAGGTGTTACATTCTTAAGATTTTAGCTTTTTGTCCTTATGGAAAAAGTACGGGAAAAAATAAATTAGAGAATTTATAAAAGATACCAGTCATTAAAATCAATTTATGTTTACAGAATACAAACGGAGTGCACGGGGCTTACATAGCCCTCATCTGGACGCTGGGTGTAGTGAGTTCGGAGCCTAGTCCCATAGCCACTTTACAACATATTAGCAACACATCCTGTATGTTATTTATTATAATTTCAATAACATTGTTTAACGTTTCAAAAATTTAATAAAATGTTTATTCATTCTTTATCTTATTTTTTCAGATGGAATAGGCGGTTCAAGTCTCAGCGGATTTGGTTCTTCTAATTTCTCTCCTCGAATGGATTTTGAACAGTGGAAACCTCTAACTGGACGCGGTGATCCACTACGGAACGATCCAACTTACGACTACGAACCCCCAGTTTTAGAACGGGTCCACTACTGGGCCGATGAATCACGTCTGGAACGTGAACGTTATCCTGAGAGAAAGTCTGAAGTTTTAATGCTAGGAGTATCTTCACGAAAACCAAGCGTGGCTCCACGAACGCCACAATTACCACCAAAACGACAACATCGACCTCCTCCTCCTCCTCCTCCTCCTCTACATTCTCCTAACTACGAAGATTATACTTATAAGTACAGTGAATATTATCCAATGACAATTCTTGTGCCGCCGCCTCCCCCACCGCCGGGACATCAACCATCACTCTATATTATGCCTGAAGAAAAAATACCCGTTCCGTTTTCTTTACCTAAGCAATCTGACGCACCAATATCATTTAATAGGGCTACTACTGTGACTCCAGATCACTTATCCTCATTTGCAGTACAAGAAGCTAATTTGATTTATCAATCCTCTACAACTAGTCAAAATTGGTTTCGAGACTTCAACCAAACAAAGGATTTACAAAACAGCCCAATTACCAGTGATTATGCTGGATGGGGTCCAACAACACCCATTGATGATAACGATATTGTCAATGATACACATAACTTGATTTTTAATGATCATAATGTAGAGATATCGGAACCTTACTTATTTTATAAGCCCTTCTTATCTGAAACGCCACCACCTCTGATTACATCTAACCAGCCATTAGTTACTGCATTTCTGCCGACTGCTTTACCACCAGAAGAGCCAACAACAAGTAGTACACAAGTAACATGGCCATCAAATGAATTAGCTTTCGATTCTACTACAGAAATTCAAAATACTTATGAAACAACTACTCATTCACATAAAACAACAAATAAATTTGTAACATCTACAACATTATCGCCGGAACCAGAACAAACAGTATTTGATATGCTCGGTCCAATGATGTCAATGCCTTTAGCTGCTGACCCCGAAAGACCAGAAGACAATCTATATGCTCATGCTTCAGAAAATATACAGGTCTTTAAAGAACAAACAACTGAGGATATTAGCAAATTAGAGTTTATGCAAAATATTCAGTCATCATCTTTGATCAAATTTCCAAAAAGTTCCACAGAAGCAGAGAGACAACCCTTCCACGTTAATCCCCACATTCTTCATAATTCGCTTCACGCAAAAAAATCCGTTCATACACATGATCCATATTTACATATGCGTTTTACTACACCGATGTCTACGTCTACAACTCAAGCAAGCTCCTCTCAAGAATCCAAATTTTCTACAGAAGTTCCCACAGTACCTATGTACTTAATTATTCAGGGTCATTCTAAAGTTAAAACATACAGTTCTAAAGCTAAAAATAGCGTAAATGACCCTTCACTGAATGATTTAACGAAACACAAAGTAACAAGCGAAGTCAAGCACTTACACCCGTTAAAGGAAAAACATGCAAAAAAATTGGAAAAGACCGAAAACACAACAAGAACAGATAGAGCTAGAGATTTAAAAACTTTGATAGATAATGGACTAGGTTCCATAGAAATTCAAGAAGCAGATATAGGCATTAAATACGATGTTAGCGACGGAAGTAAAGTACCCTTTGAAGTGTACAAAAAAGGGATTGTAGACAATGATGAAAATAATTACAATTCAAAAGAGAAGAGAAATAAGAGGCAAGTTGAATTCGAAGATTTATTGCCTTTTAATGATGATTCAATAGAAGAATATGTTAATGTATTTTTAAAAGGGCAAAAAAATGAGTCCGGTATCACGGAACTAATAATTCAAGCAATTGATAGTGCGACAACTGCCAAAATCGATGATTTCGAAGGCGACGACGAAGATGCGGATGACCAAGGAAATGAAGATAGATGAACATAATATGTATTTGTGTTGTATATATGGCTTAATTTGCAGATTTAAATCATTACAAAACCATAACGCCAATAACTTCAAAAAACCTTTAGTTACCTAATTTGCATTTAATTTTAACTTTGGGTATAATGAGTATCTTTTTAAAAAAAAATCGGCGCAGCTTACATTTATTGAATATAAAAAGTCATAAAGATTTAATCGCTCAGCTCTATATCTTTTTACCACACGTTAAAGAAGCTTTAAACGAAAGAAGTATTGTTATAAAATATAACAGTGTTATTTAATAAAGAAATCTTATTGGCTCATACTTGTTCGTTCTTACTTTTATGAACGAAAAAACTATAGCAAAGATATTATGATAAGAGAAAAGATTTAAATTTCAGAGATGCTATAAACATATGTAAATAGGATATCCTGAAACTTAACATCTAGCGGGTAACGGGCGAGGCCAATCCATTACTATTTTGGTAAAAATACGGAAAAAATCCATGTCTCTTAGTCAAGCGATAATAAAGAAATAAAGTCGATATGAAATTGCGAAAATTTCTGACCACAGCACATCAAGATGTGTGATCTACAGGGATGACTTTTAACATTAAAATGTGCCTATTATCACTTAACTAAGAGACATACATTTATTTCTCATTTTTACCAGAACAGTTAAAGGTTGGCCGCTCGCCCGCTACACGCTTGATTTGAGTTTCGGGACATTCATTATAAGATTAATATTAATTTTAACCCAAAGAATTTATTACTAAATTAATTCTTAAACTGTTTAATTCTAACAAATTTACAACACTAAATACGTGTTTTAATAAAATCTTCATCTATATTTTGATAACGTACGCCAGTGTATATTTGTATTAAATTACTATTAAAATTGTTTAAAAAATCAATATTTATTATTTACATAATGAGATTTCTTCTGTGAATAAGACTACGATACATGTGGAGATTGTAAGCTAAAGGAAGTTGGAAATGTTAAGACTGATAAAAATATAAAAGGTTTTATGCACCACATCTCGTATATTTATCGCGTAGATTCTATGATTTATCGTTATAAAAGAAAATTAAATTCGTGAATTACTTATAACAATAATTGTTATTAATGTTGTAACATATAAGTGTGTAATTGACGAATTTAATTTTCGTTAACAAAAGCTAATGTCCGATTTTTCTGTTAGTGTTAACATTTGATACAAAGCTCAAAATACATATTATGTATGTATATTTTATATGAAATATAAAATTTTAGACAAGTTATTCATTTCATTGTTAGCTTGATCTTAAAAAATGTCATATTATATTCGTGTCAATTATTTTACACAAGAAATGTTTTTAAAAAATGTTAGTGTAGAAATAAAATGTATTATATTGTTCAAATAAAATAATTTATTAATATTACAAATAATTGTTATTATTATTATTTACCATCACGTGTAACATTTGAGAATAAGTGTATATTATTTTTGATTTTGCTCTTTAAATGAAATACTAGAAAGGAAAATTGCAATTTTTTCTGATTATATAGGCTTTGGCTACATTGTGTGTCTACAAAAAATATGTATGCGACTCAACGGACGCGACCCACTAACACACACTTTTCTTACCGTCCTTTTCGTAGAAATAGACAGGCAGCTTAGATAAAGTGAAAGCTGCTTATAAACCGATAAAGTCAATGTAAAAACCACACAACTTAGACGAATTGTGCGAATGACTTGGGAGAGTACAAATCAATTGCCACTTTACTTATTGCAATGAACTAATATAAAAAAATAAATGTAGCACAAATAATAAAAATAAAAGGCCTTTTGGATAATTTAAACACAAATCGATACTCCCATTACATCGGTCTCCTTGACAAAAACATACCTTATACTCAGCGTCAGGAAATCTGGAATGAAAGCAGACTTCAATCATTAGTGGATCTGGTTGAAATTTATATGGGACTAGCTGTGCTGGGCGTACATTTGTAACGCCGTTTTTCTCAGAAACATTGGCTAGTGAATTGAGGTGCGCGCGGCACCTTAGTTCACTAAAGTTTCATCGTAAATACGAATGGTATGTATAGCAACGCATAGTAAACGAACGAACAAACAAGGCGGCTCCGTGGCGTAGTGGCCTAGCAATGAGTTGCAGCGCTAAGGGCCGCGGATTCGAATCCCGCACGAAACAAGTATGTATTTATATGACCTACAAATAATTATTCCGGGTCTGGATGTTTGCCCTTGTGAAATTTATGTATATAAACTTATCTACAGATACAGGAGAAAATCCTAGTATGGAGGTAACGTTTTTTTTTAATAAATAGAAAACTATAAAATATTCATTTCTTTGTCACAAATCTTCTTAGAGCACACAACGACTGACCAGTTTCAGTTTATTTGGATTAATGGTATGGAAACGCATACAGGACTAACAAAGAAACTTTCATATTTTTTTCTTTATTATACCGAGGGTGGGGTGATAAAATCCGTTATATAATAAATGGGGACTTTCGAGAAATTCAATGTTGAATGTTTTATTGTATTTTATTAATGTAGATAATCTAATTAGTTTGCAAATACCTGCTTTTCAAAACACGCTTTATGGTTTTTCCATAAATAGTAAAAAAAAAATATAAACATGAGCTGCCGATATATCGAGTTCTAGACAATAAAATAACAACATATTTCAACATTTATACAACATTAAAAAATAAAAAAGCGGATCAGTAAGCTGAAATGGCAATATGCCGGCCATGTAGCTCAAAGAACCGATAGCCGATAGAGAAGAAAGGTTCTCGAGTGGCAGCTTCGTAGCGCTAAATGTATGGTGAGAGATGCAGAACGTAGGTGGATGTAGGTCGCTCAGGTCCGTGCTTTACGGTATTCCTTGAGGGGAGGCCATTTTACAGCAGCGGACTAGTGAAGGGCTGTAATGATGATGTTTAAATTAAAAAGTATTTGATAAGATTTTTGCAGTAATATTTCCAAATACTACCAAATGCGAGCAGTAGTTTCCTAAGGACTAAAATGGAATACATCGTTACTACTAAAAAGGAGTCTTCGGTTTTGTTATTCATCTTACGAAATACAGAAGTATCACGCTGCTATTATGTAATAGTATGAAGCCTGTGCAGCGTGGGCTTACCACATAATAATAAATGTAATAGTGATAGAGCCATGTATCTATCTCATAATTTATCTTTTTTAACATTATCTCTAACAGAGACAGACACAAATAGTACCTATCCGACGAACGTGTGAAAAGAACAATTTTATGATTAACGAAAATAATAAAATTGCTCTGTACTAATTTACGTACCTACGTGTGTTTTATAAAATATAGTTATATCTACGTGGAATTTGTAATACCGTTTTGTAGGTCTATTGTTACTAACATACTTTTGCTGTTTTTATTATCTTTGATGTATGTTTAGTTTAGAATACGAGGGTGGATTGAAAAGTACTCGGCCTAACACAGATCCATTCAATTCTAAAAATCAAATCTACCCACATTATTTAGTTCAGTTCAGACTAGTTCATTGTGTGAAGTTCGAAACGTGTGCGATAATTAGTTGTGATTTTATAAATTTATTAACAAAGTAATCGGACATAATTTCCGCGAATGGAGCATATCGAGCAGCGTGCCGTCATTAAGTACCTCCATAAGAAGGGGCTATCATCAAAAGCCATCCATGATGACATGGTCAGTACATTAGGCGATTGTGCTCTGTCATATTCATCCGTCAAAAAATGGATAGCAGAATTTAAGCGTGGTAGAGAGAGTGTGAAAGATGAACCCCGCTCTGGAAGGCCTTCGACGTCAACTACTGACGAAAATATTAAAAAAGTACTTGATTTAATAATGGGAGACCCAGATTAAAAATTAGAGAGATAGCCGAGATTATAGGCATCTCTTATGAACGAACTCAAAACATCATTGTCAACGAGTTGGGTTTCCACAAGGTGTCTGCGAGGTGGGTTCCGCGACTGCTTTCAGTTGAACAAAAAAGGACGCGATTGACTATTTCACGCGACTGTTTGGAGTTATTTGAAGCCGATGCAGATGATTTTTTGAATCGTTTTGTTACTATGGACGAAACATGGGTTCATTACTGTACACCGGAAACAAAACAACAATCAAAACAGTGGAGAAGACCTGGTTCACCACCCCCTAAAAAGGCTAAGTCGATTTTGTCGGCAAATAAGGTGATGGCTTCAGTATTCTGGGACTCGAAAGTGTGATTTTGATTGATTATCTTGAAAGGGGTCAGAATATAAACTCTAATTACTACTGCACCTTACTACGTCGTTTACGAGAGGAAATAAAAAAAAAACGTCGAGGAATGCTCAGAAGAAAAGTCCTGTTTCATCAAGATAACGCCCGTGTTCACACGTCAGTACAGTCAATGGCTGAAATTCACAACTGTGGCTTTGAACTGTTACCGCATCCGCCGTATTCACCTGATCTGGCACCATCAGACTTCTTTCTGTTCCCTAACCTAAAAAAGCACTTGGGAGGTCAAAGATTTTCGACAAACGACGAGGTCAAAGCAGCTGTAGACGCATATTTTGACTCTAAGGAAGAATCATTTTTTTTCAACGGTCTAAATGCTTGGAAGGGGAGGTGGCAAAAGTGTATTGAACTTGATGGTGATTATGTAGAAAAATAAAAATATAACTGATTTAGTATTTGTTTATTTTCTTGGTTAGGCCGAGTACTTTTCAATCCACCCTCGTATTATATTATTTATCTAAAAGCTGCAATTGTATTTTTAGACTAACTAAACCAGCTGAAATTATAATATTTAGGGTTTTTATTTCAGCAAACAAATTTCGATACGATAGCCTTTATTTATGTCTTTACGTATGTAATCTGCACTGTACTGTACTAATTTGTAGGTTATTTGACATTTGTAACTAGATATTTCTAGCATTTAAATTAGTGGAAATGACTCGATATGATCCTTGATTAATTTCCATTAATTCAACTGATTATTTTATTCAAACGTTTAATTTTAAACGTCATGTGTATTAAGGTACTTGGGATTAATATGGTCACCTTAAGATTTGCCGCCCGATAAAACCAAAACTAGGAGGGTGATAGAGACAAAAACACAAAGTCGAATTTAAGGAAAATAGTTGGCAATAATTAGGAACATTTCGAGAAATCAACTTAAAAAGAAATAACTACACTAGACAATACTAAAATGTTTACTATAATGTTGACTGTCAAAATGGCTTCAATAAAGCAGCGCCCATTTGACCTTTAATTATTTGATTGACTGATGAAGAGCTGTCGTTTCGCCGAGCCATCTACGCAAACAAGTCTGTAGTTTTTGAGTTATATTACCCTCACGTACTATAGTAGTTTGATTGGACGCCATTTCCTTTCAAGTCGACATTTCTCATTGGATATATCTTATTCAATTTTGTTGCTAATTTAAAAATTAGATCGACTATCAAACACTTCTCTCTTTCAAAAGTCTGTCAGGTCAATTAACGCCTTTAGATAAGCAAGGAAGTTCATAAAATTTTCTCGCCAATCAAAAGATTTTTTGTTGCATTTTATTTTAATTTTACTCTTTGAATTAAAAAACGAACTTACACCCAAACTGATTTACAGCCCATGGATATCTGTAACTAACCTCAAACAAAAAAGCTACACATGCGTTGTCACATCAGAAAACTAAGATGTCATTTATTATTATTTATTAAAAAGATAATCAAGACGTGTTAAAAACAGAATTTAAATTTTTTGCATTTATTGTTTTAGAACCCAACTTAACCCTCGGTATATAGAAGATAGACATTCATCATCATCATCATCATTACAGCCTTTCATAAGTCCACTGCTGAACATAGGCCTCCCCCAAGGAATGCCACAAAGCACGGTCCTGAGCCACCTGCATCCATCGACTTCCTGCATGTCTTACCATGTCGTCACTCCATCTCGTGGACGGTCGCCCTACACTTCGCCTACCGGTACGAGGCTGCCACTCGAGAACCTTTCTTCCCCATCGGTTGTCGGTTCTTCGAGCTATATGGCCGGCCCACTGCAATTTCAGCTTACTAATCCGTTGGACTATGTCGGTCACTCTGGTTCTACTGCGGATATCCTCATTTCTAAGTTTATCACGCAGAGAAACTCCGAGCATTGCCCTCTCCATAGCTCGCTGAGCGACCTTGAGCTTCCTCATACGGCCTGCAGTGAAGGACCACGTCTCAGATCCGTAAGTCATCACTGGCAACACGCACTGTTTGTACAATTTCGTTTTCAGGTTTTGAGGTATGTCTGACGAGAAGATGTGTCGTAGTTTCCCGAACGCTGCCCAGCCGAGTTGAATCCGTCGATTGACCTCTCGGTCGAAGTTGGACTTACCTAGTCGGACTATTTGTCCCAGGTAAACATACTCGTCAACAACTTCGAGCTTAGTGCTCCCAACAACTACAGGCATAGGTGTGACATGGACATTAAATATGATCTTTGTTTTGTCCATGTTCATCTTAAGACCTATCCGTTGGGAAACACTATTGAGGTCATTGAGCATGGTGCTTAGTTCCTCCAGCGATTCTGCCATTAAGACTATATCGTCGGCAAATAGAAGGTGAGTGATGTACTCGCCATTGATGTTAATACCGTATCCTTTCCAGTCCAGAAGCTTGAAAACGTCTTCCAATGCAGCGGTAAAGAGTTTCGGGGATATAACGTCACCCTGTCTTACACCTCTCTACAATTGGATAGGTTTCGTACTCTGGTTCTGTACTCGGATAGCTATCGTAACCCTATTGTACAAACACTTCAGCACTTCGATATACCGACAGTGAACTTTGCACCGCTGAAGGGACTGCAGCACCGCCTAAATTTCGACGAAATCAAAAGCTGTCTCATAGTCCACATACGCCAGGCATAGTGGCAAATTGTACTCCTCGGAATTCTGTACAACTTGCCGAAGGGTATGTATGTGGTCTATGGTGCTAAAGCCCTTTCGGAAACCGGCTTGTCTGCAGACTTGACGGAAGCCGTCAAGTCTGCGCGCAAAACGATTCGTAATGATTCTCGAAAACAGCACGTAGACGCGGCTCAGAAGGGAAATCGGTCTGTAGTTCTTCAAGAGAGCGTTGTCTCCTTTCTTGAAGAACAAGACCAGCGCAATTCTGCTCCACGCCTCCGGTGTAATGCCACCATGGAGGACGGAATTAAAGTGCTTCTGAAGGCCTTCAAGTACCGGTTTTCCACCCGCTTTCAGAAACTCCGCTGTAATTTCATCCTCGCCTGGGGCATATCCTATATCATATCCCACACTATTCCGGGATATCTCCGGAATAGTGTGGGATAAGACTCGCTCTTGGATCGTTACTCACTCTTGCGTGTGGCTCCAACGATGACGTGTACAGCTGCCCATAGAACCTCTCAATGTCACTCAAAATCTTAGGTGCCCCGGAAACGATGCTGCCACACTCGGTCTTCAGCTTTGACAGTTGGCTCTTTCTGGCAGACAGATCTCTGGCAAAGACTTTGGAGCCTTGGTTCCGCTCGATCGTTTCTTCTATACAAGCTGTATTGAAGTTGAAGTCCCGCCGCATGCATTTGGAGATCTGTCTGTTCAGTTGCCTGTATGCTGTCAAATCTGTTGAAGAATGTAGCTTCATCTCCCGTCCAACAGCCATGAGATTAAGAGTGTGATCGGAGAGTTTTTGTGTTCTTCTGCGGCGGGTCTAGCAGAACTTAGCTCCGACCGCATGGACAGTTTCCACGAGCTTATCATTCATATCGTCCACTTCATTGCAGTCTTCTAGGCACTGAAAACAGTTTTGTAACTCGAGGTGAAAGGTTTCGGGACTTTGGAACAGAGCACGAGGGAGACGGAGCGTTGACTTCATTAGACGAGACCTCTCCAACTTAACGTTTAGGTTCAGTGTGCCTCTGACCATTCGGTGATCGCTACCAGTTTTCACCCTCGCGATCACGGAGATATCACTGAACAGTTGTCGTCTGGTCGTCATAATGAAGTCAATGTCATTTTTTGTCGAACCTTCGGGGCTCGACCAGATCCACTTCCTTTGGGGCCGCTTCTGGAAGAAAGAGTTCATCATAAAGAGTCCCTCTTTCTCCATGAAGTCGGCCAGCTGCTGGCCCCTTGGGTTCCGTTGCCCAATTCCAAATTTCCCTACTTTCAGCTCACCGTTCTCTCTTGTGCCTAGTTTTGCATTGAAGTCTCCCATTAACACCGTATATTGGGTTTTGGAGGAATGCATGGATCTAGAGATATCCTCATACATTTCCTCCACCTCCTCATCGGGGTGTGCTGAGGTTGGTGCGTAAACCTGTATGACCTTCAGCGAATACCGTTTGGTCATTCTGAGTATAAGGTACGCAACCCTCGTCGACACACTCTCAATCTTTACAACGTTTAAAAGCTTTTAGAAAAATTTACTTCACAAATATCCGCGTTATATAATAAAATGATGTGTCTTACCCAGTATGAAGAGCACCTCCCTCCCTCACTCAATTGCGTGCACTATCCCCGTCACCACCAATTGAGGGAGGGAGGGAGGTGCTCTTCATACTAAGTAAGACACATCATGTTATTTTATAACGCGGATATTTGCGAAGTAAATTTTTCTAAAAGCTTTTATATAATGGATTTCCGCAAAGTAACGTCTGATTCTATTAATTACTTTACAACGTTGTTAAAGACTTGTGGACGATAAATCCGACACCTCCTTGGGACAGATGGTCGCCCCCATCCTGGCGATAGAGCAAGTTTCCGGATTCGAGGATTACCGTGTCCTCCCCCTCTCTTCGGACTTCGGATAGATAGATATCGGAGAAGATAGACATTATAGAATTTTAATCTTATGGGTATATTTTTACAGTAATCCTATATACATTTCGTAAACAAATTAAAAATCAGCATAATTGTTATTTTACATACATATAAAAAGGCATAGAGTCGAATTTTAAATTATGTTTTGATTTAGCGGTTAACAATTATTCTACACATTTAAAGATAATGTCCTCCAGACCGAATATCACGGCGGCCAGTTTCAACGTACACTAGCCATCTGCGCAAGACAAGGTTATACGAGGGTGTGCGCAAACAATGGTGAACTCTCTATTCCTTCACTTTCATAGTCCGATGGGAGGCGGGAATGGCGGAAAATATATTACCGAAGTGCTAAACCCAAAGAGACGGGGAATGGAGAGCAACATTCATTTCTAATAGTGGTATAGCCACGCGGCAGCTTTTGCTGTCGCACGGATGGGCCGGTTCGAACCAGGGTGGTACCACGACCTCACAGAAAACCAGCGTGAAGTAGAAGTTTACCTCTGCGTTTCGCTTGGTGAGTGCAGGTGACCGGAGGCCCTTTTTACTGGAAATGAGGCATTCCACCTTAGTCCTCACGGGTGACAACGCAACTACATTTTGATTTGGAATAGAGGATAGATGTAGATGTCTATGGGCCGCAGCAACCACTTACCATCAGGTGGACTGTGTGCTCGTTTGTCACCCTTATCCTATAAAAAAAAAAGCATTTGTATGAGTATTTGCGCTCAACAACCCTCTTGCTTACCGTTGAGTTCTAAGAAATATATTCTTGGAGAGATTGATATAAAATGTTACAAGAAGAGATTTTCACGAATATATTATCGATTAAATCTTTTTGAATTAAGCTCTAGTATGAAATGGCAGCATAATGTAAAAAATTAAAATAACTATTGTGTTATTTTTAAACTACATACCTTTGACGTTTACAACTCATCGATCTAGATATGACAGAAAGAGAAATTGGCGGAGACTCTTCTGTACTTAGCTCGTAGCACCCTCGCTGTACAATCCAAGCATGCTTCGAACGGGCGACCCATGATCGAAAAAAGCACACTGCATTGTCTGAAAGTATTGGTAGTAATTTAGTAATTTGGCAAATTTACGAGTTTATTGATAATGATTATTAAACCAAATACATATATGACAAAAGGGACCTCTAATGCAATCACGCTTATTTTCACTAATTAAAGTGAGGAAATCCTCAAGGATATCTTCGGCTGCGGGGGCAACAAAAAGTTTATGCCAGACTCTTATCGGCTAAAACCTCACGTTGGTCACCATCAGCATATATGAAGGGTCCCGGGGTTTCCGTTCGGAACGAAACCGGGGCCCCTCTTTCGCTCCGCTTTACTCAAACACATCCTTACTGTCCCCAGCACCGTCGCAGTGCTATCACGGTGCTCGGGACCACTTTCGAGATCGTCCTCCTCGGGGTTACATACATACGTTCAGGCCCCACCCCAAGCGCCCGTGACCCTAGAGGCCCCGTTTCTGATAGAGGAACAACATCATCACAGCGTTCGTCACGATCCTCGCCTTGGTGACGTCGTCTCCCAGTGGGATCTGTTTTCTTCCGACACCACTCAGCGGCCTCTTTCTGGACCATAACAGATTCACAGAAGGCGGCTACGGCCCTCCACGCTGAGTCTCTGCACGGCATTGCCGACACGACTGTTGGCAGGGAGAGGTTCTGACCGTCCGCTCCCATTCCCACGCTGGACATGTTGCCAGTGTATGGAATGCGTAGTCCTGGTCCTGCCCACCGCAGTAGAAGCATTTCGCTGTCGATTCGCGTACGATCTTACACAAATAATCACTGAAGCACCTGTGCCCGGTCATTATCTGTTTAGGTCTGTACGTATTGAGTTATATGTACTACGTACTAGAGAAGCCATTCCAAACAAAAATTGTATCCTACTCTATGTCTTCGCGCATGCGCGGGAGTAGTAGTCGCGCATGCGCGAAGACTTTAATTTAATATAAAATAAGATATTAATATAAAATAAATATAAGAATTTAATATAAAATATCTTAATTTAATCTAAACAAACATATTTCTAAATAAAATGTAATAATAATTATTTTATAGAATTCACAAATCTTCAATTTACGCAATATTTAGTTTGTACGGATTGCACTACAGTTCAGTTGAACATAGTCAATGTTCGGAATGGCTTCTCTAGTACGTAGTACATATAACTCAATGTCTGTACGTGTGTCTTCCTTGTTCGTCGATGCATCCAGGCTTCGAAGTAGGGCAGGATTGCTTTAATAACGCGTTTGCGCGCACAACGCTCTTCAGAGAGACGAGTGCGCCACGTTGCGAATACGTTAAGTCGTTCCTGCCGTTTAACTGCTTCGAGCACCTCATCTGGCCCACTCCCACCGCTCTGGCGGGGGACATGCATCCGGTCGTACACCCTCACCATGGATCCGGACATGGACACGGACATGGATCCGCCAGTATATCCATAGGTGGAAAGCGAGCCAGGACTGTCGCCGCCTAAAAGAATATCGTGCGGTATCCTCGCACGATCCGTGTGGCCATCCTCCGCATATTCTTATGACATTGATTCCCCCTTTCTAAATACTTATGATTTGTGTAACACCAACAAAGTATGGTGCGATAAGGCTGACATATCCTTGTAGGATAAAAGCCTTCTTAAATAAAGATACATAATAAAAAAAACTTCTTCATAATGTCAAGGATTGCACGATTCGCTAAGCTTAGTAGACAGATTGTTAGAGAACTGTTTACTACGTCCATCAGGAAATATTATTAACGTCATCATAATTGCATCTCGTCCAAAATCCACATGCTGAACATAAGTTTCAAATATAATTTCTATACAGGCTTATTTTTCAAAGAGTAGCCAAATTTTTAGATTAAGTTCTAATATATAAATAATGATATACCGTTATTACAGTTTTTGAAAATACGAGTAAATATAAGTCTTCTACTTTTATTTGAAATTATCCCAAATTGAATGTGATTTATGGGCAACAACGTTTTTGCTTACCGATCGACCCTTACGAACGTGTGCGTGCGTAGTAAAATCATTTAAAATAATGCATTTACCACGCATTTTGAATTTAAAAGATAAAAGGACAGAATGTTTGAGATTTTCCTTAATTAATTTTTCTCTGCATATTTGGCCTGTTATTGCAAAATAATCCTGTGTATAAAAATAAATAAATAAATACTGCCACAAATACTTGTTCAGATATTAATTTATATTAATTGTTTAACTAATAATAAGGCATCCACGAATTTTTTTACCACCAGGACGGCGCCACTTACGAATGGGGTGAAATATTTGACAGGTTTCATGGCGGTGGGAGTTAACTTGTTAGAAATGTGTAGAGATATTAATCTTAAAACTATTAGGTTCCTTCTGAAATTTTACTCAACTTATTGTTAGAACACGCACTCACGTAAACATATGCATCGTGAAATATTTGACAGATGTCATAGCGCGGGGAGTTTACTTGTTAGAAAAGTGTAGAGATTAATGGTTCTTTCTGAAATTTTTTCTCAACTTATTGTTAGAACACGCTCTCACGTACACATATGCATCGTGAAATATTTGACAGATTTCATGGCGGAGCAGTTAACTTATTAGAAAAGTGTAGAGATTAATGGTTCTTTCTGAAATTTTACTAACTTATTGTTAGAACACGCTCTCACGTACACATATGCATCGTGAAATATTTGACAGATTTCATGGCGGAGCAGTTACCTTATTAGAAAAGTGTAGAGATTAATGGTTCTTTCTGAAATTTTACTAACTTATTGTTAGAACACGCTCTCACGTACACATATGCATCGTGAAATATTTGACAGATTTCATGGCGGAGCAGTTACCTTATTAGAAAAGTGTAGAGATTAATGGTTCTTTCTGAAATTTTACTAACTTATTGTTAGAACACGCTCTCACGTACACATATGCATCGTGAAATATTTGACAGATTTCATGGCGGAGCAGTTACCTTATTAGAAAAGTGTAGAGATTAATGGTTCTTTCTGAAATTTTACTAACTTATTGTTAGAACACGCTCTCACGTACACATATGCATCGTGAAATATTTGACAGATTTCATGGCGGAGCAGTTACCTTATTAGAAAAGTGTAGAGATTAATGGTTCTTTCTGAAATTTTACTAACTTATTGTTAGAACACGCACTCACGTACACATATGCATCGTGAAATATTTGACAGATTTTATGGCAGAGAAGTTGACTTGTTAGAAAAGTGTAGAGATTCATGGTTCTTTCTGAAATTTTACTCAACTTATTTTTAGAACACGCACTCACGTACACATATGCATCGTGAAATATTTGACAGATTTCATGGCGGGGGAGTTAACTTATTAGAAAAGTGTAGAAATTAATGGTTCTTTCTGAAATTTTACTCAACTTATTGTTAGAACACGCTCGAACGTACCTACACATATGCATCTATAATCATTTGTAACCAATTATATGGCATTAGGTGTAAATGTGTGCGTCTAGCAGTGAACTTTTACGGGCTGTAAAAGAAAGAAAGAAGAAATATGTGTGCGTCACTTGAAATGTGCGCAGCGCTCCGTAATTTTTTTTGGACTGATATATTAAGTAAGAGTAGTAACTAGTACATATACCTAGGTGTGGTCGATGTTAATTAATTCCAATTACTTTTACTTTACACGAGAAAGAGGTACGAACAAAAGTATTAAGTTTAAAGACCGTTTAGAAGATCTTGGTTAAGTAAAAAAAAAAATAAAGCACAGAAATACCTTCACTACAATTAACTAAATTTTGGTGAGTCCTATTAAGAGCAAGGCTGTTATCTCTTATTTCATCCACACAGCGTGTCCAGCTTCGATGTGTCGACGAGCAGTTAAAACATAAAACTTGGAATGTTAAATTTACACAAATAGCTTTTATCAGCCAAAACAATATGAATTTGTGTCCATGTATATACATTTATCTATCTTTGTTGGTAAAATGTCTATGAATTAAACAACTTCGTTTTTTTAATCATTAAATATTTGATAAAATCTTTTACTAATAATACAACAAGACAATGACTTGACATTCACGAATAAAGAAGAAAAACCCTAAAAACCTATACATTTTTCAATAATTGTCGATTAGAACCTTTTTAGTGAGCAATCAAGCTTTTAAGTTTTAAGTAATGGCGCATTATTTATCCAATAATTCTAAAACCATATTGGTGATCATCAAAGAGTGGTGATGGGGAGAAGTATTTCAAAAGTATGAAGCATGAGTGTATTAATTATTTGCTCACCAAACCACCTACTAATTATTGAAATTAATGAACTTATATAAGTATGTATTGTCGCCGTTATTTTGTAACAACGAGTCAGTATTAAAATGCCTAAACCACTTCTCTGCAATCGGTGGCAATATTGGGGCAGTGGTGGTAGCACCCTAGAGCACTGTCGCGATCACCATGTGAGTATACAAAGCGGCACAGTAACAATTATTTCCCCTAACTCCGAAATCTAAACGGGCGAACCCATGAATGATATCAAGTAGGCGACCGTGAGTCCCCCAGTGTGTCGTGAAGCCGTGCTGATTTTGGCGCCAGTTTGCTAGCGAGTTTTTTTGCGTTGAGTTTAGGTACATACATTAATAAAATATACAACTATGTGGACGTGTTGTTTTATATCTACTATGGAAGGTCGAGGTAAAGAGGACTATCCAATGTGGGGAACAAGATAAAGAAGTGTCCAGCTGTGAGCAGTAAATAACAATTCAAAAACCTTCCAGAATGGCGCTAGCGTAGATACAGGGTATAGGTATGGATGTAGCAGTTGTAGATGGATTGAAGTGTGCAGAGTTAAAAAATTTAATATTTTTGTATACAAAAATTCAATTATACAGTAGTCCAAAAATATTTTTTTAAATATAACCTAAAATAACTGCTGTGAGAATACGTGGAGTACAGAGTGAGTGGCAGCCTCGTACTGCCAAGCGCTCTTTCAGTGCTGAATGTTGGACGACCTTTCACTAGACAATCGGATCCAGTAGTGACGACTGATGTTTTATGCACGCAATCGATGGCTCAGGCCCTTACTTTGTGGCAATCAATAGGGTCATCTCATGTTCAGCACAGATTTGAATTAGAATAGGCCGTAGTGATAGTGATAGTGACACTTAGATTAGGTATAAATAAGAGTGTTAGGGTAAGGTCTAGGATTGCCAGATGGTCGGGATTCGTCTGGATTCTCCCGACATTTTGAATGATCCGACTTCAATCCAAATAAAATGAAAACATCATCCATGTATTCGAAGTCTATTAAATATGCATTATTAAGGATAACTCAAAAACTACTAGTCAAATCTAGATTAAATTTATATGGGACCACATGAGATTATGCAAATAAAAAAATCATCAAAGTCGGATCATATATAAAAAAGTTTTGAGGTAACACATATAAAAATACAGTCAAATTGAGAAGCTCCACCTTTTTTTGAAGTCGGTTTACAAAAAGAACGAAAAAACAAGTACAGAAAAAAATTAGTCACCTTCTCTTTTAAAGACAGCTAAACTTAGTTTGACACTCTTTATTTTAGGTATTAAATGAAAATAATATGAAATAAAAAAAAATAATATACAATTTACCTGGACATAGAATGGTCAGGGAACAGCGCAGCCTTGCTTCAAATCTGCTATCAGAAATAAAGATACGTTTACGTTGTAAAGGATCTTCGCCAAATTTTACATTAGACAGAGTACCATTGTAACATAATAAAGCATTACTAAGGTAAAAAAAATTGTAAAATACTACAAAATATATTGTTTTACATGAGGTGCGTAAGTTTCGGCGCAACATTGCCATCGTGATTTTGTTTATCAATAAAATAAAATAAGAAAAATATTTGTTTATGGATGACATGACAGACAATATAAAATATCTAGGTACCACGCTTGACACAAATTTAAATTTCCGCAAGCACATCGATTTAATTTGTGCTAGAGTTCGTAAATTGATATATATTTTTAAATATCTCCGTAACATCGCTGATTTCAAATTGATAAGACAGGTCTAATTAGCGTTGTGTCAATCCATACTCTCTTATGGCATTTCTTCCTGGGGTACTTACTTACTTACTTATCTTCAGGCACAATCCCTGACGGGGTAGCCAGAGAGAACAGATCGCCAAGTGTCATGATCCTTACATACCTCTTTCGCTTCTTTCAGATTCATTATCTTCTTCATACATGCACGTCTAGGTATCCGAGTACTCTTGACCCTCTCCTCTTCAAGCAATTTGCTCACATGGTCTTCGAAAGTTAGTCTCGGTCCACAAAAGCACAGAAAATCTTCTGGTTAGCAGCCAGAAGCTTTTCCGTGATCATGCGGAGAGAAAACATTTGATCCGTGCATCTTCTTCCAGGTCTAAATCCGCATTGTGCCTCCCATAGAAATCTTTCCGATTTCTCTTGCATCCTACGTGTCAAAACCTTCGAGTAAACTTTACTTGCTAAACTGGTCAAGCTGATCGCCCGATAGCACCCGCAGTCAAAATGTGAATCTTTACCTTTATATAAAGGCACAATGACTGCGGATCGCCAATCGTCTTCGTCTTTTCGTCTTTTTTAAAAACGTTACCCCCACACTAGGATTTTCTCCTGTGTCGTGGAGGCAGTTTACAAACATAAATTGCACAAGGACAAACATCCAGACCCATTATTTGTAGGCCATACAAATACTTGTTCCGTGCGGGATTCGAACCCGCAGCCCCCAGCGCAACAACTGATTGAATCATCCGGGAAATCCCCTGTCCGCCAGCACAAATTGCACAGCAGATGAAAGCTGACCCAGACGCGAGGCCCACCATAATTGACCATTTCAGCAGTAACTATGTCTAGTCCCGCAGCCTTACCACATTTCAAACTTCGAATCGCACGTTCAATCTCTTTCATACTGATGACCTCAGTGTCATAGAGGTCCGGGTCTGGCGTACCAGTCACGGCGTCACCCCTGAATCCCTCACTAAGATCATCACACGCATACATTTCTCTATAAAATTCGCTCCATCACTGCATGACGTCCGATTTTTCTGAGAGGACGTCATTGGTTCTCGAAAGCACTTTGTTCATTCTTGAGGCCGTCGCACCACTTCAGGTCCTTCCAACCTCTTTCCAGAAGAGTTTGGAGTTCTCCTTAAAGTTGTGCGACAACCTTTCTTCCGCTTCCATTCTACACCTTTCACGCACTTCCTCAATCAATGCTTTCGTGTGAACTTTCTGCAGCTTATATCTTTCTTTCATCTTCTCTCTTATATCCTTATCTACTAGAGGCCAAGTAGTCTAACCATGCTTTCTTCTTCTTCTTTACAGCTTTCACTTCATCATTCCACCATGCATCTCTACTTTTACTACTACCTCTTTTGATCGTTCCACACACTTCTTCCGCTGCACTTACCATTCCATCCCTAAGGTTCTGCCATGTTCTTTCCACACATTCCTTTCTACCATCGATGGTCTCAAGCTTTTCGGCTACCCTCGCATGATATTTGTCCCTAGTATCCGCTTCCTGAAGCTTCCAGCTTCGGATGCGACTGTCGGTCTGACTGTGGTTCTGTTACTGCCGTCCGGTAGCGAACAGACCCCTAAATCTAGTAATCACTAGATAGTGATCCGTTCCCAGGTCAGCACCCCTGAACACTCGCGTATCCATCACCTGTTTTCGCAGTCGGTCATCCACCAGGAACAAATCGATCATACTTCTCTCATTCTTTCTTTCTCTAGTATACATATGGATTTTCTTGTGATTAAACATAGTGTTTTTCACAAGAAGACCCTTTTTCTTGCATACAGCCAGTATAAGCTTACCAGCATCATTAACCCTTTTATCGCCAAACTTTCCAAGCACCGACTCGTACCCTGGTCGAGCGGTACCAACCCATCCATTCAAATCACCACATACAACAATTCTTTCGTTTCCCCTAACCAAATCTAGAACTTCTCTTACATTCTCCCAAATCTCCTCCAGCTCAGCCCTGGATGACGTAGCTACCGGTGCATAAACAGCCAACAGGAATAACTTCGTCAGTCCCAATTTAAAGCGAACCCAGAGAAGTTCCTAGAACCTTATATTCAGTCATAACATCGACCAACCGAGACGACAGCAGCACCCCCACTCCCTGGCAGGCGCTCTCGCTCTCCGGGACTCCGGACCATAGAGCTAAAGCCCGCCAGGGAGCTCTTCAGTACCACTGCCATTCCGTTTGAGATGTCGGGGCAGGATATACTCCTACGCGGACCTCTTGTTCTTACTGGTAGCACCTGGGATAATGTCCAAGCAAATAATGCAAGGGGTTTAATCAATGTATCTAATTGGCTCAGAGGCAACCTTCTTACCTTGAACACCCAGAAACAAACTACATCTGCTTCACTCCTTCTAACAAATCCCAACCTGACCATAACTTTGCCATAAAAACCCAAACTGGCTCTAAATTAGTGGTTTTGAGAATTTTTGTCTGTCTGACTGTTTAGGCCCAAATATGGTCATTTTGAAACGCCATCCAATAGTGTTGAATTAGCGAATCGCCCGATGTGTGAAGTGATACGCGCGTCGCGGGAAGGGGGCAGCGGTATGCGGCCTACCGGCGTTTGGCGCTCGTGGGTGAAGGACAGTAGCTTAAGAGCGGCGGTGCGATCAATTAGCGTATTTTGGTGACCGCTGCATATATTTCGCGCGACCAGTTTTTTTGGGTTTATGGTCTAAATTTTTAGTATTTGTGCGCGTTACTTCGCTACTGAATTGTGGTTTCGTGAAGACCGCCCCGGTTTAGTTTGTCTAAGTTGTAAGTTCGTGACAAGAGGCTTGTATTGAATTTGACTGATTAAAGTAATTTCGTTTGAAAGTAATTGCGCCAATTATATAGTGATTGCGTGTTGAAGTGTATTTTTGCAATATTTAACTTACTTGTGTGACGTGGAATCTTGCGCGCGCGCCTAGTAGAGATACGGTCTGGAATTTGAAGCTCGCATTCCATTTCGAGGGTGTGGCCGAGTTGATTGTTTTTGGAATTCATTGTTTAATTGTACCGTCGCGTTAAGAGCCTTTTGTGCGTTGACTCCGTAGCTAGTTTGCGTGTCAGCTAGGTTGATTTTGAATTTTTATTGCGGCGTAGTATTTAATATACTACGAAGGAGTTTAGTTGTTGTTTGTAACGCTGAACTTTGTGACTCGTGAAGAGATCGCGTTAGTTCCCTATTTGTAATTTGGTGATAAATGAATCCGGAACTTTGAATGTGGAACTTTGAACTACTGTTCGTTACTTGTATCGGGTATTACGTGTTTGATTTTACGATGAACGTGGAATTAGTTGCGTTGAAGTTAGTTAAATGTACAATAAAGTTGATAGACTGAAATAGTGACATGAAGAAAGAAGTTGTCACTTGGTGACGCCTGCTGGAGTGATGCAGCATTGTGGGGCAGCATGGGACTGGGCCGCTGCCGGTCACCTCAGCTGGGCCAGGTCACATAAATATGCACACCACTAAACACCACTTACATGCACCTACACTTACCTGACCGAGCCTTGGTGCGGTCTTAGCTTCGGATTCAGGTACGTACTATTTATTTACCTAGCCTTATCTCTATTGTGTAATATGATAGGACATTCCTCCATAGGCCATTTGGGCCCGAACCCTCGGCTGCCCATTGAGGAGGCTACTATGGGCCCTAGCCAAGGCGATCTTTGCAGGGGCAGCTGGGGGCCGTAACACTGACTGTCTGTCTCTGTATTACCGTTTCACGCAAAAACTACGGGACAGATTTCCATGAAATTTTGTGTTTGTCGGTTTCGGTTTCTGCAAGTTTCGGCAAAAAAATCTAGTTTCGGTAATAGTTTCGGTTTCGGCAAAAAATCTGCCGAACCTTCGGCGGCACCGAAACTCAGTGTTCATGAATTATCGTGCGTCGTTCGGATGAGTTCGTGACTCGTGTATTATTCATAATTATACAGAAACAGAAACAGATTATTTTTTATTCAATATAGATTGTAAATAATACTTATTGAAAGTCATTCTTTTGTTTAATTATCATTGGTTCGAAAAAAAACCTCTGTCCTTGGAAGAAACACAAAGAAACTCAGCGGGACTTTTTTTTTAAATAACAGATAACAATCGGCGTAGAGGCGTAGCGTGGACTAATAAACGTGGGCAAAGTTGCATCAGCGAGGCCCCTTTTCTTTCGTTCCAAGGGTAGACCCAATAGATCTATCCTACCAAACATGCTTTGACACGACATACGAGGGCGACACTGAAAGTTTTTAGAACTGGCCACTTGTAGACTTCGATTGTCCTTTCACGATGAAGCCCCATCTCGTGCCACTGTTTACAACTGGTTTAATGAGTTTAGACGTGGTCGCACTAATCTCACCGATTATCTGTGTGAGGGACGGCCTTCTTCGGCAACGACTGAACATCGCCGCACGACACATCAGTGTTGTGCGGTGTATGATAGAGACTGACAAAGATTGACTTATCAGCAGATTCGGACAAGCTTAGGCATCGGTATAGTCAAGTGCACAAAATCTTCCATGAAAATTTAGCGGTCAGAAAGCTTTGTGTCTGGTGGATACCTCATAATTTGATAGAGGCCCAAAAACTCCGTCGTGTTGATTGGTGTCGTGAAATGGTTTAAAGATTTAACGGAGGTTTTGAGTCACCTCAGACATTCTTACGGGTGACGAAAGCTGGATTTATTTTTATGATCCTAAAAGAGACAGTCTGCTTTGTGGGTGTTTCCTTCCGAGGAGTTGCCAACTAAAGTGAAGAGAGGTCGAAGTGTGGGAAAAAAGATGGTGGCCTCGTTCT